AGTCCCGCATCGGGCTCCCTGCTCAGCAGGGAGTCTGCTTCTCCCTCTGACCCTCCCCCCTCTCATGCTCTCTCTATCTCATTCTCTCTCTCAAAGAAATAAATAAAATCTTTAAAAAGAAAAAAGAAAACAAGAGGGGTGGTGGGGCGGAGGAGGAAATGGAGAGAAGTGGACGGATTCAAGAAATGAGTACGAGGTACAATTAGCAGGACTCAGTGACGTATCGACAGAGGAAGGTGTGGAGAACGACTCACCAGTTTCTATCTTAGACAACTGTATGGACGGTGGTGCCAATCTCAGAGGGGCAATTCTGGAGCCTGGGAGGACCCAAAGATGGTTATGTAGCATCTGGGAGGTCAGAGAGGATCCTAAGGCAGCTTGAGGTGGAAAAGTGTGGCACAGAGAATTGGATTTCCTCCCACATTGATTAATTTCTGACTTCCCATGCTAAGGACAGTCTTGGGCAGGAGCAGATCTGAATACAGGGCCGGAGTAGTTGAACACTGAGAAAGCTGATTCAAGGTAGAATAGTGTGGCTTATACCCTTCTCTCCTTAGGACAAGATGGGTGGGAAAAGAGGAAGGACAGATACTACGAGAGGTGGAGATTAGAAAGCATCTTTAAATGCCGAGCCCTCTCAGCATAGGGGTCATTGGGGAAGTAAGGAGGTTGGGCAGCAGTGAGGTGGCCCCTCTTCAGCCAGCTACCACCTTTCCCTAGAACTCCTCCCTGACACCCTCTAACCCTCAAGCAAAAGGAGGAAGGGCAGGGCCTTTTAGCTGCATCTCCAAGCCTCAGTTCACTTGAAAAGCTTTTTTTAAATTTTGAATGGGTAATATGGTCACATGGATGCATATTTAAAAGTTAGAAAAGGGCATACATACTGTGAGACGCTTCCCTTCCCATCTCAGTCCTCCTTCTACTGATTTCTTTCTTGTATGTCGTCTTTTCTCTCCAGTTTTCTTACAAATGATCCCACTTTGCTGCACTTTGCATTTTTTTCCGCTTGTTAATGTATCTTAGAGATTGCTCCTATCAAGACAATGAACTTCTTCATTTTTTTTTATGACTGCATAGTATTCCATTTTATGTTTGTGTATAATTTCATAGTTACTTAGTGATGGCTATTTAGGCTGATTCCAATCTTCTGTTTTTACAAATAATGCTGGAATGGAAATGTTGTATACACATCATTTTGGCCATATCTATAGGATGACTTTTTAGAATTGGGAGTGTTTGATCCTTCATTTGTCCCTTCTTGCATTCGTTCAATATTTATTGAGTGCCCATTATGTGCCAGACACTGTGGCAGTTACCAGGAGTCCAGCTTTCAACAAGTCTGACACATCCCTGTCCTCATGGAATGTTATTACACGTTAGTAAGGGGAAACGTAATAATTACAAAACTGTATACAGCAGGAAGCTAAGAAGGGCATCAGATAGAGAATAAATTCAACAGTCAGGAAGGCTCTTGGGAGCAAGTGGTATTGAAGCCAACAACTGCGGGATGGGATGTGGCAGCTAGTAGGTGTAGGACAGGGAGATCTAGGTTGTTCAAAGTCTCAGCCACAGGGAGGGGAGTTCGGGATCCGTAGGGGAGGGGGAGTAGAGCTGTAGAGGAGGGGGTGATTGGGAGTGGGAGGTGTCAAAGAGTGAGCGAGGGAGTAAGGATGAGACCAGTTGTGGGGGGGCCCACACTGAAGAGAGAGGGAGACTAGCGCTTAAGAAGGCGTGGTGACTGGGTTTAGAGGGCTTCGGGGTTGAATCTAATGGTGAATTCAGGTAAGGGGACGGGAAAAGAGGTCACTTCCTCCCTGGCTACTTTGGGAATGAGAGACCCCTGTTTAAGGCTTGAGGGAGGCACGGCCTTGCCCACAAATGGGAGAATGGATGAAAAGCCTCGGGAAGAGCCAGACTGGGCCTGTAGGACAGCCGCCTCCCTCTTTTCTGTGGCTCTGGTGCGATAAAGACGACCTGGAAGGGGCCTGGCCCGCTGGTTCTTGGCTGGTGGAAGAGAGCAGACCTAGCCAGGGCTCGGAGCTGGGCATGGGCAGGAAACCGGGCCAGGAGACCCTCCCTCTGAACTTTGTGCTCCTTTTTCATCCTCACCGCTCTGCTTCCCTTCTGCAAAAGCCCATCTCTTTGCCCATCCTGGGTCCTATGACTTTTCTCTCCCTCAACAGTCGGTTCCCGATTCTGGTCCCCGGCCCCCAGCAGCGCCTGCCCCCTTCCCACCGGGGCCCCCCATGATGCCACCACCCTTCGTAAGTTTTATGTCTTTCCCTGGGCTTGGCTTTTCCAGCCTGCACCCCCATCTCCCCGGTCCCTAGCACCGCTGCATCGCCAGCACGGTTTTGTGTCCTGCCTCCTCTGGAAAAGGGGTGGTGTTGCTTGGGCATTGGGGTGGGAGGAGCTGCTGTTAAGCTCCCAGTCCCTAAAGCTGACAGCTCCCCTTTGTCTTTTTGTCCTTGGGACACACTGGGGCTGGGGTAGGAGAAGTGGAAGGGAAAAGACCCTGTTAGTGTGAGGGCATGGTGGGGCTGCCTTTCTCTTTCACTACTCCTTCTCTGTTCTTTCAATATGCCACAGAAGTCAGGCTGAAGTAGCAGCTGGTGGTCATCGAGCTGGAGAACAAGGGATGGGAGGCAGGGGACTGGGGCATTTGGGAACCTGGAATCCTGCCTTCTGGCCCTGTCTCGGAGAGGCCTCTTTGGGGAGAGTTGCTGAAGAGATGGAGCCTTCCAGCCACAGTCTGGTGGCAGTTAGACTTTTCCCTCTCCCTTCCCTACCTCTGAAGAAGCTGTGTGCTTGCCTGTTAGACCCAGAAGACACCCCCCCTTCTTCCCCTCCCCCCCCTCCCCGTTTTCAGTCTTTCGGTGGTGAGGAGCAGGCAGTTTCACGCTTCGTGCTTCTCAAACTAAAGCCTTGGAATTGCCTCAGAGCCGGGGTGGAGGGTCGAGAAGGGTGGGAGACAAGTGGATATTCCCCGACAGGTCCAAGGCGGGGTCTTCTCTGCTCAGTGTCCCTTCCTTTCCTCACTTCCAGATGCCCCCTCCAGGAATCCCCCCGCCCTTTCCTCCGATGGGACTACCCCCCATGAGTCAGAGACCACCGGCCATCCCCCCGATGCCACCTGGCATCATGCCCCCGATGCTGCCACCAATGGGGGCGCCACCACCACTCACGCAGGTAACCCTGTCTCCTGCACCAGCGCCTCAGGAAACCCCGGGAGCCCGGCTGGGGGTGGAGGTGAGAGTGGGCGTCTGGAGCTCAGGCAGTAGAGAGAGAAGGGAGGGAGCTTTGGCTCGGCCCGCGTGGCTCTGTCTGCCGAATGACGGGAGAAAACTGGCTGGCTGAGCTGAGAGCCCAGGACCTGGGGATTGTCTGAGGGGGGGACCCGTGTGAAGGCCACGGCCCCGGCCAGGAGCTCTCAGGAGCCTGCCTTGCCTGTGCCTGCCCTCACCTCCGTAGTTGTGTCTTGTCTCCTTTGTGTCCCTAGATACCGGGAATGGTACCACCCATGCTGCCAGGGATGTTAATGCCAGCAGTGCCTGTCACCGCCGCGGTAAGCACTGGGGGCCGGCAGGAAGCAGCCGTGCCCTGCAGCCCTGTGGGTCCGACTCGGAGCACAGGGATCCGGCCTCCGCTCTTTCCCTCTTCTCATCCATCCGTCCCGGGCCTGGCCGCACTCCCCACACTCACGTCCTCCTCTCCGGCAACGTACTCTGCTCTTTTCGTTTCTCACTCCCCCCAAAGGCATGTTACTCTCTCGTTACCCCTTGCTGTGCCCAGCTCCCGTAAGGAACACACTCGTGGCTGACACGCTTCCCCTCACAGAGCTCGCACTGTGGACACTTGAATACAGGCCCTCCTCACATCTCCTTTGTTGCTGGCGGAAGCAGCAGCACCTGGGGATCTCACCGTACCTTCTTGTGCCATTGCTCAGTGTAGTAGAGTCTGGGTAGGACGTAGCAGTTGGCATCCACTCTGGAAGAGGGGCCTCGGAGGTTGACTCAACAAAATACTCTCACTTGAGGAAAACAACAGAGCTGCTATGCGGTTCCCCCTAGGATCCTACAGCCACGGCCCCAGAGGGTGGGGGATGCCTGTTAGGGAGCAGAGGTCCCTGGGAGCAGGACACATGGATCCTGGCCTGGCCTGCTTCTTCATCCCCCATGGCCTGGGTCCTGGGGGCCACTGGGCTTGGCCCCAACCCTTCCCCCTCCTCTTTCTTCGGCAGACGGCTCCGGGTGCGGACACAGCCAGCTGTGAGTCTTCTGGGGGTCTGCTCCCCCCAGGCTCGGAGGTTGGGGGGGTATAGGGGAGAGGGGACCGTGGACTAGAGCCCACCCTGGATCATGCCTGTTGGGATGCCAGGGAGCCTGGGATGTTGATGGGACCAGGGGATATTTATTGGGGATGGAGTAGGGGAGGAATAGGTGGGATAAGATGGGTGTCGGGGCAAGGACTTAATATTTCTCTTGGCTTCTTTTCTAGCTGCTGTGGCTGGGACAGGCCCTCCGGTGAGTTCTTCCAGCTCAGGGGTCTCTGGGTAGAAAAGCTGAAAGTTGGGGGGCTGATGGTTAAATCTTTGGGGTAAGGAGGAGAAGCTTTGGAGATGGGGCCTTGACCACCATTCTCTGCTCCCCCTCCCCCCAGAGGGCCCTGTGGAGTGAGCATGTGGCCCCTGATGGGCGCATCTACTACTACAATGCTGACGACAAGCAATCCGTGTGGGAGAAGCCCAGCGTGCTCAAGTCCAAGGCAGAGGTCCTGAGCAGGGCTTTCTGGCCCTTCCTTTCAGCTTCCCTGACCCTCCCAAGTCCTTGGCCTCCCGAGTCTTTAACCATACACACGGTTCCTCTGATCCCAAGATCCCTCACCATTCCACCAGCCTCCCTGGGATCTCAGGAAGTCTGCCTTCCCCCATGTTGAGCCAGGCCAGGTGGTAGCTAAAAACTCCCTACTCGCTGGATCCCCTTAGCTCCCCCGACTGTAGCGAGAGGGCATGCCCAGCCCCCTGATGTCCTCTGACCTGTCCTCTTGTAGTTGCTGCTGTCCCAGTGTCCCTGGAAAGAGTACAAGTCAGACACGGGCAAACCTTACTACTATAACAACCAGAGTAAGGAGTCTCGCTGGACCCGGCCCAAGGACCTGGATGACCTGGAGGGTGAGGAGGGGGTGAGCCTGGGCTGTGGTGCTGGGGGGTGGCCCTTGCCACCCTGTGACCATGTCATGTTTTCCCCTTGCAGCTCTAGTCAAACAAGAGGCTGCAGGGTGAGTGACTCGCGCACCTACCCCCCTGTACTTGGGGCCGCCAGACGGGTGGGAGTGGACCCTCTCTCTGTGGTCCCTGCTCTGTGGAAGAGCCAGCTCTCAGTCTCGTTGTGGAGTGGCCCGCTTGGGCCCCAGTCCTTCGCAGGCCCCTGACTGGCCCTCTCTCTGCCGCACGCCTGGACCCCGCCCTCCTGGCCCGCCTGCAGGAAGCAGCCCCAGCCCCAGATCCTGCAGCCGCAGCCACCTCAGCCCCAGCCTGAGCCCCCGCCCGGGCCGCCTGGCCCCACCCCCATGCCCCTGGGCCTTCTAGAGCCTGAGCCAGGTGGGAGTGAAGATTGTGATACGTCCGAGGCTGCCCAGCCTGTGGAGCAGGGCTTTCTGCAGCAGCCGGAGGAGGGCCCCAGCAGGTGAGGGCTGCCCCCCTGAGGCATTCCCGAGGCTGGCTTCAAGCTCCCAGCCTAGTTCAACCCTTGACTTCTGCCAGGCCTCTTGGGAAGGGTGTGGAGATCTGGGCATGGCCTCTGCAGGGCAGAGAGGGGCTGCTTTGGGGAGCGAGGAGAGGGTGGCGTAGTCCTGGCCACATAGGGCACTGAAGGCTGTGGGGCCTGGGAGATGCTGTGGCTGAGTCCCCTTTGCCCCCCAGCGCTGCTGCACAGCGTCAGCCACCACAGCAGGAGGAAGAGGAATCAAAGCCAGAACCAGAGAGGTCTGGCCTCAGTTGGAGCAACCGGGAGAAGGCAAAGCAGGCCTTCAAGGAGCTGCTGAGGGACAAGGTGCAGGGGTGGGGTGCCCAGGGTAGGCCCGGAGGGGGCTGGAGGTGGGCAGGCCCCATGACCCCTGCCTGCTCCATTCTAGGCTGTCCCCTCCAATGCCTCGTGGGAACAGGCCATGAAGATGGTGGTCACCGACCCCCGTTACAGGTAGGCCTGGGCAGAGGGAGCCAGGCCCTCCAGACTGTGTTTGTGAGCAGCTGGGCCAGGGCCTCCCTGAGAAGCCCCAGCTCAACACTCAGGCCCCAACAGGGCCCGAGTCAGGAGAATGGTAGAAGGGCAAGGGAAAGAGAAGCTGGAGGGCCTCCAGGAGGAGGAGGGGAAAGGTATCTGACATGAGACATTCAATAAATGCTTGTTGAATTGAATTGATTCGAATTGAGTTAATTGGGGTGAGGGGGCTGGATAGGGTGGAGGCCTGAATGCACTTTGAGAGCCTCAGAGCAAAAGGGCTGTTAGTGTCTTGGAGCCCCGTCTTCCCCTCACTGCCTCCCATCCCTCCCCTCATCCCAGAGACCCGTCTTGCCTCCCTGTAGCCTGCTGTGCCCATGCATGGACCCCTCACTCAGTTCTGTGTGCTGTGACCCTGCTTGGTGGGCTGTGCAGGGTGACTCCTCTATCCCCACCCCACTCCCACCCTCTCCACCCCAGTGCCTTGCCCAAACTGAGTGAGAAAAAGCAGGCATTCAATGCCTACAAGGCGCAGCGGGAGAAGGAGGAGAAGGAAGAGGCCCGGCTAAGGGCCAAGGAGGCCAAGCAGACCTTGCAGCATTTCCTGGAGCAGCACGAACGCATGACCTCTACCACCCGCTACCGGTCAGGGGGCCGGGCTGGGGTGGACTCTGGGAACCCTGAGAACACACGGGCCCAGGGTCTCTGTCCCCTGCCTGCCTACCCACGGCCCATATGCTCCACAGGCGGGCAGAACAGACCTTTGGGGAGCTGGAGGTGTGGGCTGTGGTCCCTGAGAGGGATCGAAAAGAGGTTTATGATGATGTCCTCTTCTTCCTGGCCAAGAAGGAGAAGGTAACAGTCACTGGCTGGATCCGTCAGCCTGTCTTACTTGAGGCTTTTCGTGTCTTTGCGTCCTTGTGGACCCCGGCCATTCATTTCTCCACTGCCCCAGGGTCTCAGCTCCTTCCTCGGAAGCTGGTGTGGCACTTGCACATCCCCCCACTTCTGCTTGGGACCTACAACATGGGTATGGGAGGGCAGGAGGGCATCTGTGAGGGGTTGATCTGTAACCTGTGCTCCTTCCCCTTTCCGGGGATGCGGAAGTCTTGAGTCTGGCCCTCCTAGGGTTCCCTAGCTCCTTTGCTCAAATGCTCCTCTGCCCAGGCCCACTTGAGTAGCTCCGACCTGCCCTACCTCACCCTGACCCTGACACTGTGGCTCCCCAGGAACAGGCCAAGCAGCTCCGGCGCCGCAACATCCAGGCCCTGAAGAGCATCCTGGATGGGATGAGTAGTGTCAACTTCCAAACTACATGGTCCCAGGCTCAGCAGTACCTCATGGATAACCCCAGCTTTGCTCAGGACCACCAGCTGCAGAGTAAGCTTGGGTCTCCGCTCCTGCCTGTCCCTTCCCCTTTTCCTCACTGACCTGGGACCCCAGAGCCTGCCTCCCAGTGGTCTCCCGCACTTCCTGCCCTCCTGGATGTCCAGGGGTCCTCAGCATTCGCCCCGTCCCTGCATCTCTCCAGAGTCTGGAGATGCTGGAATGCTGGGACACCCCCTCCCTCCGTCTGGGGTCCGCTGTCGACCTGGACATTGTCTGTCCTTGGAGGAAGAGCTCTAGGATAGGCGTCAGAAGACCAGGAGAGGATGGTTTGTCCAACTCCTGTGAATATGGTCTTAAGCTGTCGTGGTGCGGTGGCCCTTAACTGGTCACATGTTGTTACGATGAGCTGTTGTTGGCCTGCACTCATTGGCAATACCAGAAAGAGACCTTCTGAGCTGGCATCAAAGCCTGATTGATTCCCAGGTCCATAAAACCTAAGACCTCAGATCCCGAGATGGTTGGTTTCATGTGATTCCTTCCAGTAAGTGAATTCCCAAGAGCTGAATACGTGCTGATTTTGCTCTCATACGTTAATGAACCCTCCTCCAGAACCACCGTTCCAGTCTCCTCTCCCACAGAGGTCCCTGCTCCTCTTGCCCCACCACCCTGGGTGGCCCGGCGCCTACTGAGGCAGCACCCTTGAACACGGGGGCGGGGGGAGGTTGCCGGGGTCGGTGAGGGTGTCCCACGGGTGCGGTGCCCGCTGAGCCGCCTCCCCGTGCTTAGACATGGACAAGGAAGATGCACTGATCTGCTTCGAGGAGCATATCCGAGCTTTGGAGAGGGAGGAGGAGGAGGAGCGGGAGCGGGCCCGCCTGCGGGAGCGGCGTCAGCAACGCAAGAACCGGGAGGCCTTCCAGGTATGTGTGCTGCCCGCTGGATAGGCGCTCAGCTCGGGCCCGGCCCGTAACTGCCCATGCCCTGCCTCCTCGCTAGGCCCGCTGCTCCGTCTCTGCCCGGTCCTGTGTGCCCCCTCCGCAAGGCCGCTCTCTCTGCTCCTGCTGTGTGCCCTCAACCTGGGGCCGTGCTCCTCTAGGGAGACTAGATGTATGCACCACGCAGAAACTGCCAGCAGAGAGCACCGTAAAGGCGCCGCCTGCAGCTCGGCCTGGTTCATTTCCCTTTGGTGGGCAGCCAGAGGGGCAGCGCTGGCTTGTCCCACAGCTTGGAGGCGGCAGCGGTGGTGCTAGTGGTGGGGGCTCCCCAGCTCCAACACTTCGGGAAGCTGAGAGCAAGCCACGGGCAGGACGTGGCTGCAGACAAGTTTCTGTTTCCCTGCCTTCCAGCCCGGCTGCCCGTCGTGTTTGAGTGTGTCCCTCTCTGTATTTACATTCTCTCCGCCTTCACTGCTCTCTTCCTCCCCATCTGTAGCTCTTCGTCTCTGCCTCCTTTGCCTGCATTTCCTCAGTCTGGATTGTCCCGGCCTCTCCCTCCTATCCCGTCTCTTCCTCCCCAGTCTCTGGCTCTGCCTCTCTCTCTGGCTCACTCTCCCTATAACTGGCCTCTCCCTGCTCAGACCTTCCTGGACGAGCTGCACGAGACAGGGCAGCTGCACTCTATGTCCACCTGGATGGAGCTGTACCCAGCGGTCAGCACTGATGTCCGCTTTGCCAACATGCTGGGCCAGCCGGGTAAGGCAGCCAGGCTCCCCCTTTTCTGGCCTGGCTTCCTGCCCTGCCAGCCTCTCTGCACCCCCCACTCCCTCGTCCTGTCCTCGACCCCTCCCCCAGGCCTCGGGAAGCTGCCGCCCGCCAGGCCCCCCTCCCTCCCTCCCCCCGCAGGCTCCACCCCTCTGGACTTGTTCAAGTTCTATGTGGAGGAGTTGAAGGCACGATTCCATGATGAGAAGAAGATCATTAAGGACATCCTTAAGGTGAGGGAGGCCCAGGGTTGTGGATGGGTGCAGGGCCCCTCTCTGGACAGGACTCCCTGATAAGTCCTGTATTGCAGGAGCAGCATAGCTCCGTTCAGCAGACATCTACTGTGATCCCTGACTGTGCGCTGGGGACACAGAAATAAGAAAGATGCAGTTTCTGTCCATAAGGAGCTCATGGCCTAGTAGGAAGATAAACACGACACCTATTCTACAGAGGGGCAAGTGCTGTTAGAGACGAGAATCGACAGAATTGCTATTTGCGCTACGCCTTTAAGAACGAGTAGGTGGATGAGGCCGGCGGTCCTGGGCAGAGGGTATCAGAGGATCGGAGGCAAGGGAGTGGGAAGGGCCTGGCAGGCCTGAGGAGCAAGGGGCCCAGCTCATCAGAAGCCGGCAGCTCACAGATCTGTTCCTTCTGGCCTGTACAGTGTTTTAGAAACATTTCAACTTTGCTGCTAACATTTTAAAATTGGGAGATTATACAGAAAAACTTCTCTTAAAAATACAGATTATCTAGCAGCACTGGGCTGGTTTTGCAAGGCGTTCAGTGGCCTCAGACTGAGAGGCCACTGCTTTTTAGAAGGGGCATGCCATCCTTAACCTCCCGCTGCCGCCACCCCTCTGGCGTGGCAGCCATGCTGCGCACGCCCCTTGCTTGTCTTACACTGGAGAGACTGTGTCCATCAAAGGTGGAAAAGGGATCGCTGCCCTAAGAGAGCCCTGTGTTTCAGAAGGAGGAAACAAAGAGGAAGCATATTTCTTGGTGGAAGTGAAGGACATGCAAAGGCGCTGGGGAGGTGGTACGTCCAGCAGTTAGGAGCAGCGCTGTGGAGGCGGACTGCTTGGGCCACAAGTCCAGCTTACCGCTTACTAGTTGTGTGACCTCCAGCAGACTGTTTAACCTTTCTGAGCCTCAGTTTCCTCATCTGAAAAATGGGGGATTTTCCACCAATGTACACCTAATCACCAAGGGCAGTGACTTGGGACCTAGGGCGAGAAGGGTCTGAGAATAAATTAGGAATGTCCCAATGCGCACACAGCGTTTCTTTGAAGTCCCGTGTTTTGCTTTACAGATTCAGGTGTTGTAACTTCATACCATATTACTTCTCTGTTTAATATAAACGTAATGTTTTAAAAGTCCTTACCATTAGGTAAGATATGCCCTATTGTCCTGTGGCTTCCTGCTTCTCTGGAACCCGAAGCTCCAGTTGGGAAGGAGAGCCCTGGGTGTAAAATGCCTTGAATGCTAAAATAAGAAATTTGGGTTTTTATCTTGTATGTAATGGGGAGCCAGGGAATGATATGGTCAGAGGATGTCTTGGAAGAGCCACGGGGTAAGAGTATAGAGTAGCACTTCCTAGACTGAGTGCTTGTGTCCTTAGGGATATGTGGTGGGAAGACAGTATTTGAAGCCTCGGGACAATGAAAAGTCACAGTGGCAAGTGATTCCAACAGATCTGGAGCTTGAGCCATCCTCTTCTGAGTCACGCTCAGGCTCCCCCCTGCTGTAGGGCCCTTTGGTAGGAAAGTCGGAGCAGTGCAGGACTCTGGAGTACGGGTTAGAGGTACGGGAGGTGAAAAGGGAGGCCAGTCGGGAGGTAGTCTAGGTGGGAAATGAGCTCAGCAGAGGCAGCAGGGATAGCAGATGAGGGAGAGTTGGGCTCCAGCTCTGTTTTTCTGAGACCCCCACCCCCACCCCTGGGTTTCCTCAGGGGTGCCTTGGGACAAGAAAGAGGGGGAAGTTTATGCTTCTTCCTCCGTTTTTAAGTACAGTAGTTTTTCTTTTGTATATTGAGGTTCGAAATAAGATTTTTGTGAGAAAAAAAAATGTTTCTGCTGTTCAAAAAAGAGAAGTTTAAAACCAGGAGGATGGAGTCACTCAGAAGTTGAGTGGACAGATTTTTTGCATGTGAAATGGAGGGCAAGGAAGGAGTGAGTTGAAATTGGCAGAGGTGGGGCGGTGGTATCATTATTGAGGATTCGGTAGGAACAGGGCTGGAGAAAATAGGAATTCCATTTGGGGAATCAGTCTCAAAAGTAACCTGGGGCAGGGAGGAATAAAGCAAAAACCACATTTTAAATAGGGTATTCTTGTAAAGTATAAATATCTAAATCTAGGAGAGCTACATTTTATTGGATGCTTACGTTTTAGCCACAGTGTGTGGCTGGTCCTGCTGACAGGCCTGTAGGAGTCCCGTCCTCGCTGTGTTCTGTCTCTCCACATCTCCTGCGAGATGTGGAGAGACCTCTTTAGACAGCTCCCTCACCTCTTCCCCCTTTTGGGCTCCTGCCTACAGAAGGCTGATGAGCCCAGGAGTCCCTGTGGCCATCCACTAGCCTGGCAGACTGTGAGGGCACCTCTCACTCCATAGGATAATGCAAACAGCTTTGGACTTGGAAGAGCTGGAAGCCAGAAGATCTGGGCCTGGGAGATCCATGGGTGTGGGGAGAGGGGTGGCTCACAGGGAATGAATTCTCTTGGGGTCTGCTGAATCTGAAGTCTCTGTGAAACATCCAGTCTCTTAGGGGTCTGAAAATCAGGAGTGAGGTGTAGGGGCTGAGGTTGCTAGGGACAGTGTAGATTGAAAAGCCCAAGCGCTGTTCTCGGGAACAAGCACAGGCCAGAGAGGCACTAAAAGAGCTCAGAGAGACAAGAGGGCAGTTGTTGACAGGAGCAGCACACATACAAGGACCCGTCAAGTGAGGACTGAGCAGGGGCCCTTGGAGTTGTTTCTGAGGACATGAGCACTTTTCGGAAAGTACTGTCTGTAAAGAGCGTAGAGTAGGTACAGCTCAGACCTTGGAGTCAGGTAACAGCTGGCTGTATAGTGGTTGGGACCTCTGCAAGGCATATAAAGGCTGAGCCTCAGTTTCCTCTTCTGTAGAATAGGCATAATTTATGTGCATGGTTGTGGGAAGGGCTGATATTTGCAAAGTGCCTGGCTTGTAGTAGGCTCACTAAATGTTGATTCGTTTTCCTCTGTGCTGCATTTGAAGATTTTGACCCAGAGGGAAAACAGCACAGGTTATTAGCTTGAGGAAGGTGAGAGCAGGGTGGACAGGATGTTCCCGGTGAGGTGAGGTCTGAGCTTGATGGAAGCAACCAGTGGAGAGGTGGCATTGAAGCTTTCACTTCGCTGAGAGAGATTGGGATGTTTGAGAAGGCCTGGGGCGTGGGTTGAGGAAGTGTCTTGGAATAGACAAGAAGAGCATATTCTCCATATTGCCCACGTGAAAACTAATACAACGCTGTATGTTAACTAACCGGAATTACAATAAGAACTTTAAAAAAAAACAACAAAAAACACGCTCTGCCATGGGCGGAAGGCCGCAGCAAGTTCGTGCTGTGTGGAGGGAGGAGAAGGGGACTGGGCCTGTGTCCCCACGGACTCAAACTCCAGCAGCGCCACTTCTCACCAGATCCACTTGGCCCCAGTGAGAGAATCTCCTAAGCCTCTGCTTTACTGAGGTGTTGGGAGGTGTAGATGAGCAGCTTAGAGCCTGGCTTCTCGATGAGAAGCTTCGGGGGTGGGGGCGTATTTTTAATAGTGTTCTGCAGTTACACACGTGATGGCCTCGAATTCCCCTGAGGACTGAGTGATCTGTGTGGGCTCTAGTGCTTCACACCATGGGCTTTGGTGTTAGAGGGACCTGGGGTAGCGGTCTCAGTCAACCGCATCTTAGCTGTGAGACTGTGGGCAAGTGCTCTAGCTTCTCTAGACCTTGGTTTCTCCTTCCACATACAATTAGGAGGCCAGGACCTATGCTTAAATTTTGATACTGAGGATTGAAAGAGATAAGGTGTGTGAAGCACTCAGCACAGTACCTGGCAGCCTAGTAAGCACCCAAGAAGTAAGCCAAAGGATGGGACAAGCAGATGTTGACAGAATGCAAGGAAGTTACTGAGCAGCAGGAGGGCCCAAGTGGGGCCCAGCCTTAAGCCAGGAACAAAGAATTAGTTGTGAGAAACTCAGGCATCCATCAGCAGATCTAGCATATGCACACACACACCCTGCTCCCCCTCCCCATGGGACCCAGTGCCCCCCTCCGCTCCCTGCGACATCAAGACCAAGGGCAGGTGTGGGAGGCTTAGTCGTCAGATGGTGAGGTTTCAGAAGTGCACCTGAGTCCTGTGGGTCTCTTCTGGGGGCTGGGGGACTTCTAGAGCATCCTGTGGTCCGACCCTCTGCCTGCCCTGGAGGCCGGCTTCAGGCTTCGGGCCCGTGGTGGCCCCTGCTTCATGCGCCACTGTGCCCACAGGACCGGGGCTTCTGCGTGGAGGTGAACACAGCCTTTGAGGACTTCGCCCACGTCATAAGCTTTGACAAGAGGGCGGCTGCGCTGGACGCAGGCAACATCAAGCTGACCTTCAATAGTGTGAGGGGCTGGGCGGGGCAGGGCTGTAGCCAGGGCTCCATTCTCGAGCTCATCCCCGTGTCCTGTTCCGTTCCTTCTCACTGCCCCAGTGTGACTGCACCCGCCCCCCCCGCCCCCGTTTAGGGGGTGGCGGCAGGAGCCCAGACCCCAGCTTCCCATGTCCTGCAGTATGCCCGAGTGGGGCCTGGGCACCCACCCTCCTGGGTGACCCTGCTCCGCCCCCTTTCTGTCCTCAGCTGCTGGAGAAAGCAGAGGCGCGGGAGCGAGAGCGGGAGAAGGAGGAGGCGCGAAGGATGCGGCGCAGGGAAGCTGCCTTCCGAAGCATGCTGAGGCAGGCCGTGCCTGCCCTGGAGCTGGGCACTGCCTGGGAAGAGGTCAGGGCTGCAGCCTGGCACCAAACACCACCCCCTCGGGCCTGAGGGCAGCGGTGCTTCTCCGGCACTGGGGGCCCACCCCGGTCAGAGCACAGCTCGCGGGCAGCTTCGGCTCCCTTCCTTCCTCTGCCCCAGCCCTGCGCTCCTGGCGGTGTCCACGCCTTGCCGGGGCTGGTCTGATCAGCAGTGCTCTCCCGTTCAAGGTCCGTGAGCGCTTTGTGTGCGACTCAGCCTTTGAGCAGATCACCCTGGAGTCGGAGCGGATCCGGCTCTTCCGGGAGTTCCTGCAGGTACTGGAGGTGAGGCAGAGCTTCCGATCCTCTGCATCTGTCCCGCGCTCATGAACGCCCAGTCCGGCTCAGCAGAGACCCCAGTGGCCTCCTACCCCTGGGGCTGTCCTTGCCCTGAGGTCTGACGGTGGCCGGGAGTGGCCTGAGGCCCTGGCTTGAGAGGAGGCAAAACCGGATTTTCGGGCGCAGGGTGCTTCCTGTGGCTAGCCCTAGTGCCTTCCTCACCCCTCCCTCTGCCTCTGCCAGACTGAATGCCAGCACCTCCACACCAAAGGCCGAAAACACGGCAGAAAGGGCAAGAAGCACCATCGAAAGCGTTCCCACTCGCCCTCAGTGAGTTGGTGGGCAGAAGGGCTGTGGGGGGCCGGGGCAGGGGGCTGGATTGTCTTGGGGAAATAGGAACCATTTTTCTTGTTTTTTCCCTGCATCGCCTCCCCTTGGAGCGAGATTTGAAAAGCCCTTTGGCCCTGGATCCTCCTCTCTGTCCCCAGTTCCCAGACTTGAGGGCTTCTGGAGCCCAGAGAACCTGTGCGCTGACATGTATCTGCTGATCTGCCCAGGGCTCTGAGTCGGAAGAAGAGGAGCTGCCCCTGCCACCTCTCCGACCCCCCAAGCGGAGAAGGCGGAACCCCTCAGAGTCAGGCTCTGAGCCCTCTTCCTCCCTTGATTCGGTTGAAAGTGGGGGTGCTGCCCTTGGAGGACGGGGCTCCCCATCTTCTCGCCTTCTCCTTGGATCAGGTGAGTGGCTGGGAGTTGGAGCAGTTGACTCCCGACGAGAGGAGGCAGCGCCCTGAGGGTGGAGCTGCTCGGGAGGTCTGCACCCATCACAGTGGGAAGAACTTTCTGCCCGGCCGTGGCAGGAACTGGGAGAAGGAAGGAAAACTGCGCTGACAGAGACTTCCTTAGCTAGCTCCCTGTCTAAAGAACGAGGACTGTGGCAGAGAAAGGAATGAGCCCGCCCTCCTCCCATGGGACTTAACTGGGCATTTTCTATCTCCAGATCATGGCTTTCGGAAAGCCAAGAAACCAAAAAAGAAAACTAAGAAGAGAAGACACAAGTCGGTGAGTAGAGAGGGGGCTTCTACCCAGGGCCCTGCTATGTTGAGAGAGCCCTTCAGCCGCCTCCTGGGCTGTCCCTCACAGGCGGGCTCTGGGCTCTTACAGAACAGTCCTGAGAGCGAGACAGATCCTGAGGAGAAAGCCGGCAAGGAGAGTGATGAGAAAGAACCAGAACACGACAAGGACAGGGAGCTCCGGCGGGCAGAACTCCCGAACCGCTCCCCAGGTTTTGGAATCAAGAAGGAGAAGGTGAGAGGCAGGCACCTGACCCCAGCGCAGTCGGCACCCTCCGCAGGCCTCCGTGGCCCTCGGGGGAAGCTGGGGCTGAGCTGTGCCTCCGCTCCACCAGACGGGCTGGGACACGTCGGAAAGTGAGCTGAGCGAGGGTGAGCTGGAAAGACGGCGGCGGACGCTCCTGCAGCAGCTGGATGACCACCAGTGACCCGACGAGCCGCTCTGCCTCGGGTCTGTGTGAGGCTGTGGATCCTAGGTCACCCTCACCATCTGCACTAGACTCCTTTCTCAGTCGGGTCCGTGTCCACTTTTCCTCAAGTAGCCCCGCCCCCAGCACCCCGCGGCTGGCACCTCCCCAGGTTGCTCGTGGTGTTCGAGGGTCCTCCACTCCCCAGGCAACTAGTGCAGTCCTTGCCCTCAGCCCCAGACCAGAGACCAGGATGCCACGTGGAGCGGGAGGTGCCAGTAGAGAAAATGTGAGAAGGGGCCTCTAGGGAGAATGACAGGTTGGGGACAGGCGGGGTCCTTCCCCTCTAGCACCAGTGCCTGCTCCAGCCTGCCTGGGCCCTCGGGCTCCACCACTCCTTCCTTCAGCCCCGGGACCCAGTGTATGTGTGTTTTGCTTTGTTTTGTTTTTGTTTTTTAAATAATATTTATAACATGGCCGGTGGCTCTGGTATCTTCTCCGTATCCTGCTGGGGCACGCTGGGGGCTGGGCAGGGGCACGCGTGGCCAGCAGAGAGCACTACTGTCCCGTGGCAGGCAGGCCAGCCTCCCTTCGTGTGGTCGGAGCCCACCCAGCCCGGTTTGCCCTCCCCCAAGCAGACGGCAGCTCCATGTGGCCTCCTTTCTGTCCCCATGGTTCGGGTCAGGCTAAACGGCCACCCTAGTCCTCCCCGAAACCCCGGAAAGAGGAGACAGAGTCAGGCCTGGTGCTTCAAGCCTTTGTTGGGAGAGGGAAGGTCTGGGATTTATGTACACGAGAGAAGGGAGGTGGTACATGTACAGAAAGTGGGTTCCTGTATTCCCCTGCAGGGGCTGAGGAGAAACTGGCAGGAGACTGAGCAAATAGTCAGCTAAGACCGCCATGCCCCCTGTCTCCTGCTAAAAAACCCCTAGCCGTGGAAAGGAGGTGAGGGTGCTTTCTCTAGCGATCCAGGGAGAACCTCTACCCCTCTGCCCACCCAACAACAGTCAGCCTAGAGTGGAAAGGGCCAAGGGCAGTAAGCGTGGCATCTCTCCTCTACCCTTATCACCAGGGCACAGCTGGGTGGGGACCAGGCTTAGGTGGGCCTTGCTCCTGGTAAAAGGCGATCTGAGACTGGTAGGGTTCTGGGGCTCCCTGAGTCTGGATACTTCCAGACCACAGCTGATCATGGGCCTGCGAAAAGGAAGGGAGAAAAAAATAGGGATAACTGCTTTCTCCGCTTGTCCCTCTGGCCTAGTGACAGAGGAGGCTGTGGGCCCTTGTATAGGCTAAAGCTAGAAATGACTTTTCCCAGCTCTGAGCTGACCCTTGGTGACCTTCCAGTCAGGAAATGAAGTTGAAGACCCTGGGGCCAAAGTGCAGTCCTGGAGGCACCAGGGAAGTGCCAGGCCCCAAAAGACCCAGTGCCCCCAGTGGTGCCAGGCACGTACAGCTTTGAGACTCGGGTGGACACTGGGTCGAGAGCAGCATAGCCCTGCGCTGCGCCCTCGGCCAGTTCCAGGGCTCCAGGTGCACAGGTTGGAGAGTTGAAGTGCTTCTGCCTTCGGGGGGGTCTTAGTGGGGGCCTGGAGCCCGAGGGGGGCTGTTGGGCGGTGCGGCACTCCTGGCTTGGTGGCGAATGACAACGGGCTGGCGATGGAGGCCTGTGGGGAAGACAGAGGCCTGTGAACACGCAAGGAGGCTAGGCTGGGCCGCCGTCTGTCGGAACAGCCCCTGAGGAGCAGCCCCACGGGCAGGGCCAAAGAAGAGCCAGTCGTGTGGCCGAGGAAGGAGAAGCTTTAAAAGAGGCTAGAGGGGATGGTCAGGGAGACTGCTGGGGCTCTGCATTTTCAGAGGACCAGGTGGGGGTGACGAGAGGCCTGGGCAGTGGCAGAGACAAAATAGACTCAGCAATAGCCAGAAGCTGGGGAGAGATCCCAGGTAGACTGAAAATCAGGAAACCGGTCAAGGGACATCTGATGTGCCTGGGCAGAAGCTACTGCCAGAGCTCTTTAAGGGGGGGGCGGTTAGAGGGGACAAGTCACAAAGGATACCTGGGCCCAGGAACGGAGCCTCAGCCTCAGCAATGAGAGTTGGTGGCCGGGTCCTGCCTGCTCTGGAAACTCCCTACCCCTGGGTCTTAGTAGAAGCCAGGACAGCATTAGTGGGAGATACCACTTCCCTGGAGGCACATGCAAGGGGCTAAGGCGTGCTTCTCCGAGCACGGGGCATGCAAGTGGAGAAGTATGCACCCCTATCACCGTGAGGCTGCCAGAGGATGGTTCCAAGTCATGCAGGGGAGGAGGTGCCTGCGGGCCCAGCAGGAGTCCTGGGAGGTGGGCATGCAGAGGGGCAGCTGTGGTGCCCAGTACCTGTCAAGAGCCCCGGCCTTGGGGGTTAACAGTTTGACTCATCATGGTGGGCTGCATCGCAGAAGAAGCGGGAGCCCCGCTTGGCAGTACGGGCCGTGAAAGGGACACTCTTCAACACTGTGGCCCAGGAAAGAGACACAGTGGTCAGGCCTCGTGGGGATGGGGTGCGAGGAGGGCCCAAAGGCGCAGGGTTGGAGTTTGGGAGCTGGGCCTAGCGGCCAGGCCCAAAGGAGGGACAAGGACCCCACCTGTAATGATGTCCTCAATGGTACCATCCTTCCCTTCGTAAACAGGCCGATGCTCCTTGGCCTGGCGCCTCCTCAACTCTGCAATTAGCTCCTGCTGTTGCCACTTGTTCCGCTGAGATGGGGTCTAGGGCCGAGCATTGGAGGGGAAGGGAGTCATCACTAGCCTACCATGGGGCTAGTTCCTGCCCGAAGATGCAGTCTGAGGACGCCCTTAATTGTACATAGCAGCCCACCCCTGATCATTGCCTAGGAATCCCCTCCCAAAGCCCCTCTCCCCATCCCTTTGGACTCCAGCCTCAGACCCTCTGGGTGGTCTCTGGGCTCCAGTTTCCCGTCTCTCGAGTTCTCTCTCCACCCCTTCATCCTCTCCTCCAGGCCCCAGCTCTTGGTCCCACCCACCTTGGCATCCAGTTTCTTGGCTTCCTGAGCCAGCTGCTTCTCCCGCATTACCTCCTCCTGCTTCTTTCTAGCTTCGTTCTCTTGTTCTGCTTCCTAAGAACCATGGGGGGGGGGGGTGTGGGGCAGTGAGGCTCACACAGGCTGTGAGGGGAGGGGCTGACACCGAGGGTGGAGAATGGGTGGTAGTGGGACCAGCAACCCCAGGTGGCCACCCTCTGGAGGGGCACTTCCTGCCCTGAACAATGACAGGAAGGGCCTGGGCCCCCACCCTGCCCACCAGTTCACAGCTGAGAGGCCTGTGGCCAGCTTCCATTGCTCCCTCCCAGGCCTCCGAGGAGGAGACAGAAAAGGCCCAGACTTGGAGCCCAGCCCTCCCTCTCCCTACCAGTTTTCTCTCAGCCAGACTCCTTTTTCAAAAGCCTCTCTTCCGCTCACCTTGTAAGAACGAATGAATCGGACAAATACTGGGAAGAATACAGACGGGGGTGTGGTCTTGGGACTCTCGCCGAAGTAGCGCACGACTGCATTATAGGCCTCCTGGGGAAGGGGTGGACAGAAGGGCTCGGTCTGGCAGAGAAGCACAAGCCTGGCTCTCCAGCAGGGCTTGGGGCCAAAGGAGGAAAACCAGCAGCCCCCAGCCCCTGTGGGATGCAAAAGAACCTGGGGCTCCCAATGCTCCTTAGGGTATGTCCCCAGGGGCGGCTGCTGGCCACCCCCAAAGCCCCCTCTCCCCCACATACAGCCAGCCAACCACGCGGTAAAGGTTCTTCGGTCCAGGGGTGCCTGGGTGGCACAGTCAGTTAAGCTCTGATCATGATGTCAGGGTCGTGATCTCAGGGTCTACTTCAGTCTCTCTCTCCCCTTCTCCCTCTGCCCCTCCTCCCTGCATGTGCTTGCTCTCTCTCTCTCTCTCTCTCTCTCTCTCACATAAATAAATCTTAAAGTCCTCTGGCCCAAGAACCAGAACAAAGCCCATCTAACGGGACGCAGCGCCTTGGCCCTGGCCGGCCCCGGCTGCCGGCACCCTTGGCCACCTCAGCCGTCCTGGCGTCGCGCTGCAGCTTGTCCAGCCCGCCTTCGCTGGTGCTGAGGAAGTTCCGAAGGACGCTGTTGTCGTGTATGCTGCATTCCCGCCGAATCAGCTCCATGCCCCGGCCCAGCTCCTTCACGTCTAGCAGCACGTTCTCCAGGGACACTGTGGTCACCAGAGCCTGGGCTGAGGCCTGGTCAGTGGCCGACATGCCCCCCTCCCGGTCCGGGGCCACACAGAACTTGGCCCTTCCCGTCAGCAGGGGCTCCCTCAGGTTCTCGTGCCCCTGCTTCCTGAGCCGTTGGTGGAGACAGAGAAGGACACACGCAGCCAACGGGGCCCTCACAGAGATAAGGAAAAGGAATGGGGGCTGTGAGCTCATGACCCCAAGGTGCAAGGCGGCACAGGAAGGCAAACCAGAGAGACTGCTGGGCTCCAAAATGGAGCCGCCTCAGGCCTGGGGCAGAAATGTCAGCTGCCTTATGTTTGTGGGGGCTTCGCGGTTTTCCTAGGCCCTTCACAGGCATCACAGAGACGCAGAGTCTCCAGGGCCGCCCAGGGAGTTGGGAGTGAAGAGCCACTGGTGCTCACTGCCTGCTTCCACGGCACCCCGGCGGGAAGGACTGGGCCAGGCGGGCGCCTGCAGGAAGGCTCCCCCTGGGGGAGCCCCTACCCATGGCCCCAGCGGAAAGCTTTGAAGTGGCCAGAAAGGAGATAACAAAAGCCAGAAACCAAGGGACCCAAGTGTTCCCTCTCCCAAGCTTCCTGGGATTGTCCCGGGCTACACATGAGGGCAGGCTCGCCGGGCCACGCTCCCTCACCTGCCGCGGCCTTCTCCACGAAGTGTAGCTCATGCCAGAAGTTGGCCAGGTCTGGGTATTTCTCCTTCACCGTCAAGGCGATGAAATGCAGCAGGGTCATCTTCCTGTCAGTGGACTTGGTGTCCAGCAGCTGGAGGGGGGGGCACGGGGTGGTGAGAGAGGGCCAAACGCCATGGCTCCTCAGGCTTCCCGGCCCCAGGTCGCCCCCACCGTCTTACCAGATCCAGGCTCTGGAGCTTGAAGCCGTACACAGCTCCTCGCTTGCTGCTGTTCATATAGTTCCCCAGTGCAAGGATGATCTGTCCAAAAGATGCACGGGAGGAGGTCAGGCCAGGCCCCGCGGGCTCCTTCCTCTACCCGGGCCCGGGCCCATGGGCGCGGGCCTCCGCAACCTCTCCCCACCTCCAACATCTGCTTCAGCTTCTGTGAGGACTTGACAGAGGCAGACGCTGCAATGATGGCATTGAGTTGCTGGAAGGCAAGAGGAAGAGCTGCGTCAGCCCAGGCTGGGATGGGGAGAAGTTGGCCCGACGGGGCCGGCAGGGGCGGGGAGCAGCAGGTGGGGGACGGGCGGGGGCTGTACCGGCGTGAGCATCTGCAGGTTGTCCTGGAAGTTGCCCAGGAAGGCCATGCCAGCCATGCGCTGGGTCAGCCGCTCCACCTTGCTGAAGAGCAGCATGAAGCGGTCCTCGGCCGCCAGCTCGTCCAGGGGCTGCCGCTCCCGCTCATACTGCCGCAGCAGCTTCACCTCGGCCTCCGTGGGCAGGAAGCGCATCAGGCACTCCACGAAGTCCACGGGCAGCGTCTGGAGGTCAAAGCTGCGTAGGAGGAAGGAGCCAGCTCAGGTCTTGCATGTGCCCGTGACCCATCCCCCCTTTATTCTCCAGCTCCTAGAAGGCCTGAGGGTGGGGTCTGTGAGCAGGACGCAGCCAGAGGCAGAGGGCCCATCGCCTCATCCGTCACAGCGTGAGCAACAATCCTAGGGGACCATTCCATGGCCTGTTTTAAAACCCTTCAGTGTCTTCCCTCTACCCCCAGGGAGAAATCTTAATACCTGAACGTGGTTTATGAGGCTCAGCCTGCAGGACTTCTGCCCACCTGTGTTTACCCTGTCTCTTCGACTCTCCTACACTGAAGTCTGAGTTGATTTTCAGTACCTAGGGCATCATGCTTCTCCCTGCAGGCACTGAAATGGACTTCATACACTTCCTCAGGTCAGGTTGCAGGTGAGACCTCACCTCCTCCCGGCAGCCTTCCCTGATCCCCAAGCTCAGCTACCTGGCCTGCTCTGTTCCCCCAAAGCTGCCTATACCTCCACCACCTTGGTGGTTATCACCCAGTGCTACTGGACTGTTCCCCCGAGACTGGCAGCAATGTGAGTGAAGGTTTGGGCTGAATCCCCCGCACCCCCCACAGTCCCTGGCACACAGCACAGATGCATTAAGTTCTGGCCAAACCAGGGGATGACTGAGGGGTGTGAGATGGCTCTGTTGATGCCCTGGAATCCAGGAAGGCCAGGATCCTAGGTGAACTGGGTTGCCAACTGACTGGGACCAGGGCAAGGTCAGTGGGAGCCTCACGTGTGGATGGCCCTGCAGATCTCCTCGGCAGAGCGGCCAGCCTTGCGTAGGGTGATGGCTAGGTTCTTGGCACGATTGGCTTCCAACAGGGTCACCTTGCTGGCGGCCTTTTGCGCTGTCTTGTTCTTAGAGCAGATGAGGTCAAGGGCAGGGCCCTGGGCTTTCGTCTTGAACAGTTCTTCAAATTTGTCCAGGTCTAGGTCCTGGCAGGGGTTGGCGAGAAAGGAAAACGCGGTGGCCTATCCTACTAGAAGACCCCTGGCAGCACGCCCAGCATCTGTTCAGCTCTGGCACGTGGATGCCTGGGTCTGGGTCTGAGGGTGTTTCCAAGGCCAGGAGATCTGGCTAAAAGCACGGTCTCATCCCCAGCCTTCTACCCCACCCCTAAGGGCTCCTGCTACCTCCAAGATCTTCTCATCGTCAAGTTCACTGAAGACAGTGCCACTGATCTGGTTGGGTTTCAGTGCTGTCCAGTTGAAGACAGGCAGCCGGAACTTGGTCTTGATAGGTTTCTTGATGCGAATGGCTAAATTTGGAAGGAAGATCAGTGAGGCGCTGGGGCTAAGGACACTCTCCCTACGTCCCACTAGCCCTGCCCAGAGCCCTGGGGGGACTCACCTGACAGGCCTACTGTCAACACCACAGAGGGAGCAGCGCCAGGGAGAGGTGGGGCTGGGGGACACTTGTCTGGGGGAAAAGAAATGCCACTGTGACCCAGGGCCCAAAAGACTCTCCAGAGAGCCTTCCCCGATGCCACCCCACCTGTCCACAAAGTCTCTTGGGGAAAGAGGATGTGTGAACTCCCTGCCCCTCTGGTTCCCAGGGGTCCTAGCTCTGGTGGGGCAGGTCTCGTTGGCCTCTGGCCCACTGTCTCCTGCTCTGGTCTAAGCCCTCTCCATGGCCATCCTCAGAGGAATCAGGAGCGGCACCTTTATGATCCTTAGAACAGACCCCTGTCTGCCCTGAGATAGCCCCTTCCCAGTAAGCTGAGCCTCCCTCAGATTCTCGCCCTCCCTCAAGCCTTTCCCACCCGACTTCACATCCTTCCGCCCACATCCCTGCCTTCTCCCTAAGGGAGGCACTACTGCCTGGGGTTTTGGTATGGCCCTGAGATGGGGCTCCCACGGTCCTCCTCACCTGGTAACGGGGGTGGGGGCGGGGGCAGGGGAGGAGCTGGCGGCGGGGGCAGAGGCAGGGCCTCCTCGGGCGGCGGGGCTGGAGCCAGGAGGTCCAGATCGGAGGGCAGCATGGCCTCACTCAGCTCTGCGGGGCCTATCCGGGCCAGGGCCTCGCTGCCCGCAGACTCCAGGCCCCGCGCCCCAGGCTCCAAGTGGCATTGGCGCTGGAAGGCCTCCTCCTTCTCCTTAATGAGCCGCCGGAGGGTGTGCACCTGGTGGCTTGTGTTCTCGTAAGTCTCCTATCGGGGAGACAGTGCCAGTAGGCAAAGGGGAAGGGGAAGGCAGAGCCCTTGTTGGCCCTGAGAGTGACAGTTCCTGCCCCAGGCTTCTCAGCTGGGGTCTCTGGGAGGGTGCGCAGGGGCAGAGAGCAGCAGGAACGCAGGTGGGGGCCAGGGAGGCTGGACTGCACAGAATGGCACCCTCCAGTGTGCTTCCTCTCGGACCCAGACTTAGACTCACTGGTTCCTCAAGGCCCAGGCCGGAGGCTGCTCCTGGGCACGGCTCCCGGGCCTGCCTCCAGCCTGCCCTCAGCCCTCCGGGCCTCGACTGCTCCCACTGTGTTTGGCCTCGTATAATCACTCCGTTGGCAGCCCCCCTGTGGACAAGACCCTGCCCTAGCCATCTCTGTATCCTCCATACTCCCTAGAACAGCACTTCAGACCCTCAGCAGGGGCCTGACAGATGTGTATCAAGCCCCTGGTCTCCTGACTTAGGATACCTGGTGGATAGTCCCTGAGCTACTCAGCCTGCCCATTACGCAGGGGAGGGAAAAGCAATAGGAGGGGCCGGTAGGAGGGGGCCTGGACGCTGGAAGTGCCTGCGGGCGCCCCACCTGCTCCTACCCTCCTCTGTGTGTGTCCGGCCCACTCGATTCAGTTTCCCTCTCCCAACTAAAAGACAGGGTGAAGTCATCAGCCCACCCTCCTCTGAGTCCCTCAAGTGTGAACCAAGATCTGGATTTTCAAAGACTTGACATGACTCAAGAAATAAAAGCCAAATTAAAAAAACTATGATTTTCAGATGCATTTCTTATAATAGGATGGAGCTGACTGTATGAAAAAGCAAAGAGATAAAAAATAAATTGATAAGAGATAGAAAGAAAGAAAGAAAGAAAAAGAAAGAAAAGAAAAGAAAGAAAGAAAAAGGGAAGGCCAGCTCCCCAGGCCCTGACGCCCAGCACCAGTCAGGGCCTCCCTTCCCCAGATTACTTGGTACCTTGACGCTCTCTAGTTCCTTCTCCCGCTGCAGCAGCTGCTTCTCTAGCTCTGCCACACGCATCATGTTCTCATTCTCTAGGTCCAGAAGCTTCTCCGTGAGCTGCAGGATAGGAAGAGCAGGCCTGGCGCTGGCCCTAAAGCCTGGGCACTTTGCACAGCCTGAACCTCCACCAGGACCTGGACCCAACCCCCGCACCCAGGCCTCCAAAGGCCGTGGAGCCCCGTGGCTTCCCTGCATCACTCCCGTGGGCCCAGGTCTGAGACCCTGTGAAACAGACCACACCTGACTCTCTCAAGCCTGAGGCCACCTCACACCCAGTCCTGGAGGTCAGTGTGTGTCCTAATCTGTGGATGACCCAGGGCCTCGGCCAGAGCGTGCCGGGTTCTGCAGCTTCCCTGGCCTCAATCTGGAACTGAGATGGCCCCGTCCTCTCCCCACCCCCAGCGGTAGTTCTGGCAGCAAAAAAGGACTACCTACGTGGGACACGTGCTCCTCCAGCTCCTCCACCTTCTCCAGGGCCACATTCTTGGTCTCCGCGTCCTCCAACAAGCCTCCCACATCAAACACATTGTCCAGGTATGCCTGGATCTGCACCTGCAGCTTCTCGCTCTCTGTGTGCCTTGACTTCTGGGAAGAGCAGACACGGTAGTAGTTGGGGAGCCTCCTGAGAGAGATGTGGTCCTCATCATCTCCATGACCCCTTCCTAGAGCATAAGACTTCCTTCTAAAGCCATGCAGTCTCATCCAGTGGAGCTGCCGATTTAGAGAGCGCCCCCTGCAGGAGGGCCTAAGACCCCGGCCGCAGAAGACAGGAAGGGTTCCAAGAGCATCCACGACTAGGCTCTTGTACAAGAAGAACCCTTCGTGATATGACTAAGCTGGTCCTTTGCCCCTAAGCTCCTCACCTGCGAAGACTCGAGCCAGCTCACCTGCAAGAACTCCTCCAGCCCCAGCTTGGTGAACTCATACTGCAGGTGGACCCGGAAGTTCATGTCCTCTACTGAGTGCACCACGATGTTGATAAACTGCATGCAGGCCACCTGGGGAGAAGCCGCTCAGAGGGTCAGAGGCAGGGAGGGCCAGGAAAGACCGCAGAGCCAGGGTGTTAGAACCGGTATCATTGTGGGGGTAATCAAAGGAGTAAATAAAAAAAGTGAGTCTTTCTGAGAACAATAAAAGTATTTTAACTTAAAAAATATCAAACTTAAGGGGCGCCTGGGTGGCTCAGTCATTAAGCGTCTGCCTTCGGCTCAGGTCATGATCCCAGGGTCCTGGGATTGAGCCCCGCATCGGGCTCCCTG